GCAGCAGGTGAGACAGGAGAGGTCTGCTGCTCCATGTGGGTCACCCTCCTGGCCAGGAATCGAACTCATGCTGAGCCAGCTTCAGTTAGCTTCCTAGTGCTGTGCTTGTTACCCCACCAAGGAGGGCCCCCAGATGGTACTTTTTAACAACCAAATTCTTCAACAATAAGGATAATCTGATAATATTTTTAGATAAAATAATAACATTTACACAATACAATAATATGTGAAAATTCACAAGCTAAAAGATAAGTTTAAAAATTACTATAAGGGCCCTCTCTGGCGGCGCAGAGGGTTAAAGCGCAGCATTAAGAATCGAAAGCCACTTCCACATGAGTTCATCCCTGCCTGCCCCGGAGGTGACCACATGGTGCAGCAGACCTCTCCTGACCGGCCTGCTGCTCCCTTAGCAGTGTACTTCATTGATCTGCCTGTTCTGCCCCCCACTCTGTCTCTGGTGAAGCCTCTCACTGCCCCCTGCAACTCTGGCTGTACCCCAGTTCTGTATGAATAAATAAATAAGTCTTTTTAAAAAAATTACGATAAGCCCACCCTCAGCAGATATTAACAAGCGATAATTATACATCCAAATTTTTCCTATGCATCTTTCCTATAAAAATTGGAGCAAACAGCACAAATTACTTTGTAATTTATTTTAACAAACCATCAGGTCTGTACATTTACATAGCTCTGGGAATTATTTGATCTAGGAAATATAAATACAATAATATGCTACAGAAGGGGAGAAGGCACTGGTTAAAAAACAATAGAGTTGAAGGAACACTTACTCTTTCTCTGGAGCTATTGAACATTGGGTCAAAGTCATTTCTAGCCTTCTATATTTTCCCTGTAGAAAGGAAATTATTTTCAGCACTTATAAGCCTTTGGCCAGCGGCCATCACTACCTGACTTCCTGTAGCACTTTGATCAAATTTTAGAGAAAAAGAAAATGGTGCAATTCAATTATAAGCTGTTGATCAAGTTAACTTTGTGTATATGTGTGATGGGAGATAGGCAGAATCTCACTGTCGTTGTTTTCTTCTTCTTGGGTTAGTAGGTAGAACAGTTTGACTTGGTGAAATAACTCCATAGTTACTGCTTGTAGGCTGAACCAACTTTTCACTTTTCAAATTATGCATTATGAGTTTTCAAATTATGCATTATGAGTAGGCTAGCAAGTCAGAATCTTAAAATGAAAGCCTCTAAATTGCTATGTTCACACAAAGAGTTACATTAATTATTACATATTTAAAATTTGTGGAAAATCATTACCGGGGTATTTGATCGCAGATAGTCTTGTTTTGACTCCATTGTCTTGATGTCCAGCTTGGTCTTTTTGACAAATTATTTTTATTCAAATTGCCAGCAGAAAATTTAAATGCAATTTGACTCCAAGAAAAATTTTTTTTAATTTAATTGGTCTGAGGTGCTATTTAGATATCAGAAGTTTTAAATGGTCCTCAGATGATTTTTAAATTTTAACTGAGGTTGAGAACACTGAAAAAGGGGGTCTTGCACAAGATTGTTGAAGGACTTTATTACTAAGTCAAAGGAAAGGCTGTTACATTTATCATTAGTAGACTTAAATATTTATCTTTAGACTTTGGGGGCAGATTAATCCCTTCATCATCTCAATCTGAATGTGAAGGTAATTAATGTACACAAAAGAGAATGCCTTTTCTTTTCTTATTTAAACTTCCTATCATCTCTTCAAGCAGGGCAAATACAATTATCCCTATTTTACAAGTGGGAAAAAAAGGAAGTAGAGTCGTTAGGTTCCTGCAGTAACTAAGGAAAACCAGAGTGTGTTGGTATTTATAATACTGTTACCGGGCAGTGAGAGGGGCACTCCTGAACCCCCAAGTCTTCCAGTTCTAAATAGATTCTGCCATCCACTGCATCAAGATAAAACATACAAGACCTTTAATGGAAAGGAACTTAAATACAATTAGCGTGCAATACAGAAAAGACAAAGAATATAGTTTCTAAATCAAACACCCATCCCCTTGTGGGTAAAAGAGATTGGCCCAATTGCAAGGCCTAAAATCCTGCCACAAGTCTAAAGCACCTTCTAGCGGGGAACCATAGAAAAGGGTCAGAAATGGCCAGATAAGTCTGGGAGGAAAAGAGCAAAATCAAAATCAAGATAAACACTGCCATAGTTAACTTCCCTATGTAACAGGGTGGTCCCTAGGAAAAAGGGACATTCCTGCCCCACCCAGAAAAGGGGGTGGAGCTGAGCAGAGAAAAAGGAGAGAAGAAGAGAGCATGAAGCTGGATGGAGAAGGAGCAGGAGACCTGAGGAAACCACATGGAGCAGCAAGCATGTGATGAAGAAACCTTGCTTGTTTCCTGACCCTGGACTGGTTAAGGCAGATGTGGGTGAGATACCTGTAGGGAGGTGACTATGGCAGTGTTTATACTGATTTTGATTTTGCTCTTTTCCTCCCAGATTTGTCTGGCCATTTCTCACCCTTTTCCATGGGTCCCGGCCAGAAGGTGCTTTAGGCTTGTGGCAGGCTTTCAGGCCTTGCTTTGGACCAATCCCTTTTGGGTTGACTTTTGCCCACGAGGGGATGGGTAACTTCAGGTTTTTGATTTAGAAGTTATATTCTTTGTGTTCCATATTGTATATTTACTGTATTAAAGTCCCTTTTCATTAAAGTTTTATATGTTTTGTCTTGTTGCGGCGGATGGCAGACCCCACTTAGTGCAGGCAGGTTTTGGGGCTTCAGGGGTGACCCTCTCTCCCCTTTCCTCTAACAGATTTACTGCCCTATAACACCTATGGGTCCAAAACCCACATCTATTCCAACCAGGCCAAGGCTAAGAACCAAGAGTGGCTCCTTCTCCTGTCTCTCTGCTCCCTGTGCCTACCTCACAAAATCCTTCTGGCTCTCTATCCTGCTTCCTTCCTCTTCAGTCTCCTCTCCAGATTCTTCTCCTTCCTGCTCAGCTCCACCCTCTCTTGAGTGACTCAGGGAACCTGGAATCTCCCCTTTTTCTGGGGACCATCTGTACATTTCTTTTGGCACCTATGCACTGTAATTCATGTCATAGGTTTATGTTTTGATCCTATCTTCTCACTTAACTGAGTTTTTTACTATCTATGCATTTATTCATTCATTTACTTTAGGTACATTGTTTTTGTTTTTGTTTTTAACTATATGGAGGTTGCAGTGGTGAACAAAACATATGGCATGTTCCCTGTCTTGAGGTTTGAAAATAGTGAAGAAGTACTTATGTAGAAAATTAATTAAAAATTAACATAAAAACAAGGGCTTGATGGTGGTAATTTACCTTTTGAGTAAAGAGGTTAATAGAAAACTATGCAAGAGAAGAGAATGTAAAACTCTAAGCTAAAATTTGACCGAAGAGAGTTTTCCATTATAATCTACCATATTCTCAGGTGGAAGGAACATCTTAAGACTAAGAGAGAAGGGTGGATGAAGGGAGAGTGAGGAGCTGGGGAAAGAGAAAAGAGGAAGTGGATCAGCCAGGAAGGGTAGACTAGCAGATAATGTGAAATGCAGTTGATCATAAAATGGCCTTTTAATTCATGAGCATAAGAGAATGTATTGTTTTGAGGAAAATGGACTTTAAATCCAGTAATTTTGTGCCACAACTCGTGATCCTTTTTATTTTCAGAGAACAAGCTGTGTCATCATTAAACTAAGGTTCCACAAGTAGAAAAGTTTTGCAGTTTTGGCAAAAAGGACTAAGAAGTGCCTGACCAGTCTTTGCTTTGGTTTCCACATGGGGTTGGTTTAATATTTGGAGGGTCTAAGAGGGACGACAAAACAACAGCTGGGCTGAGCCACTTGGCAGATGGTGAATGATGCCATGAATTGGCTACTGCAGAAGCTGAATCAGAAAGAGAAGATGGGTTACATTTCAGATGTGTCGTATCAGACATCTGACTGCTTCTCACGATGGGTTTCCTGCACAAACTCCAGAAACAATTTTATTATTGTACTCTCCAATTTGTACAATTCTACCAAACCAAGCTGAGAAAGGATCCCAGGACAAGGACAGGACAGGACTCAAAGGCAAAAATTTTGCAACAATATTGCTGTTCTACAGGCTGGCAAACAGTTGCTGCCATAACGTTCTTTGTTGTTCTTGTTGTTTAATTTCCCACTTCTGAGCTACCTTTCCACAGCTTATCCAGTTGGCTACCTGAGGAAAGAGAGGGCATTGCAAACCCAGATTGGTTCACACTGGCGCTGCCGGGCACACAGCCCCCCTGAGACATTCACTTTGGACATGGTCACCAGCCATGCTGCCCACTGAGTTACAGCTCTTGGGCCTCTATGACTAGAAACAACAAGGGATTTTTGCCAAGTCCATAGTCCTTGGCTTTTCAGCTAATAAAATGTAACTTCCATTGTTCTAAAGCCCACGTCCTAAATGTATACAGACCCCTAATCCCAGCATATCCACAAGCTCTCTCCCTGGAGCAGTACCTCCATGTCCTTCCACTTATCAATAAGCACTGACTCCTTCACTGCCCTCACTGCTCTGTGGAGTCCTCTAAGATTCCAAGTCCCTCTTGAGTGTCTCAGTAGCCTGGTCAGCCCTCAGTCTCCCAGCAGGTGGAGCAGCCGACAGTTGAGGTTAGGCTCAAAGCCTATCTGCCTGTATTTTGGGGGAGGTTGGAAATCGCTTGAGGGACCCCGGGGGCCGGCTTCCTTCTCCGTGACAAAGTTATTATTGGGTACCAATTAATGATATGGACCCCGATAAAACTTAGATACTAAATGCAGGGAAGGGGCTAGTAAGTAAAAAGGTTTGCCAGAGAAGGTAATTGTCTTTCACGCATGCTCGTTACGTAACCACAGGCTCCGCTCTCCCGGAGCCGTCCAGGAGCGAAAAACGCATCCGCCCCCTGCCGGTCAAATATGCGCAATGCAGCACAAAGAAAGCAACTTCCTAGGGGCGTGGCGGGTCAGGGATGACGTCGAAATGGTGCGTCCTAGCACTGGAGGTTAAAGTTGCGTCTGTGGTACGCGCCGTGCGGTGGGAAACCTGACAAGCCGCATGGCTGCGGGTTGTTCGGAGACTCCTCGGCCAAAGGCGGCCTCTCAGGGGCCTGTAGTGACACCGGCAGGCGAGCTCCCTTGCCTAGAGCTGCCGACCTACGCTGCCGCTTGTGCGTTAGTGAGCAACCGCTACTCCTGCCTTGTGGCCGGGCCGCACCGCAGGCACATCGCGCTTTCGCCGCGGTACCTTAACAGGAAACGCACCGGCATCCGGGAGCAGCTGGATGCGGAGCTTCTACGCTATTCTGAGAGGTACCAGTCTCAGTCGTTTCTTTCTCTGAATGCACACGCTGTAGCGCCGCCTGCCTTCTCTGGGGCAGCGGATAGACATTCTTAGCGCATAGCTAGAAGGGTCTCACCGACCACCTAAATGTTGAATCCCGAGGCATTTAGGGGGCTAGGTCTACCTCAGAGCGAGCACCTACCCCGTCTAGAGCCCCTTTCACAGGTTGAAAAAGAACGCGGAAAGGCGCCGCGAATTGTGACGGTGGCGGGAGTTGAGAAGCTCATTCCAGAATCAGGTGGTTCAGAATTAGATGGGGTAAGAAGAACTCAGGGGTCTTGGGTATCTTGTAGGCCCAGGATTGTATGATTTTTCTGTTTGGCTCTGAAAGCTGGGGATGTTTTCTTTATATAAAATATCACCTAAGAGGCATTGGTGCAAGAATATATTTGTAAACCTTGAAGGGCAGTTTTTGATTTGACGCTGATACTTTCCCTGCTTTCTAATCTCTTGAACTGGATCAGGAATGGGAGAGATACTATTACTATCATTTTGTTTTGCACTTAAGAGCAGCCAGTTTATTCATTCTAGCGGATATTGCCGCCTGTTCAGCCTGAAACCTTCCTGTGCATTTAAATTAAAGTATTCAAAGGTAATTTAAAAATTTAGAATTTGATGGGCAGAGTGGCTGGGGAATAACGGGAGATGGGGAGGGTAGAGACACTGTAATACTCCTTTGGACTACTATGAGTCCAAAGCAAGGATTCATGGATTTCCATGAAGTTTATTACTGCTCTTCAGGAATTCCATAAACCTCTGGGAACCGGCGAATTCTATCTGAATTTCCTGTTAGGCGAACTGTCTAAAGTTTTTAGCCCTTTCTCAAGGGATCCCGAACGCGACATGTTAAGAATCAAGCAAGTGTAGAAAGTACATCTTCCTCCAAGTACCAGTACATCTTGTGTTTATCTTACCTACTAGGGATTTAGGATATAAAGACATATATCACAGATCCAGGTTTCATAGACCTTTAAACTCTAGTAGAACTATAAATGTGAACCATATAAACCAATAAAGTGAAAATTTGTCAGAAACCTAAGGTATACTAAGTTATAGTAAAAGAGGGAATGATGAATTGGATCTTAGGACCTTTGAGAACAACCGACAGAAGGGGAGGATACATTGATAGTTTAGCATTTCAGGCAGAGAGAGTGGTGTAATCCGATGGACAATAGATGTGAGATGGAATATTTCAACTAAGAGAACTAAGTTTTATGTCAGGGGAAGACACAGGGTGCAGATAAAGGAAAGGGTAGTGGGTCAAAGAGTAGTGGTGGGGGACAATTCAGGAAGGATGGCCATTTTGTTCTTCCTTTTCTACCTTTGCCAGTTGTTTGTGGTTTTTGTTTTTTGTTTTTTTTTTTCTCTTTGCTTAAACAGGTGAACACTTTCTCCTCTCAGTGCCTTCCACTTCTGAGACTGCACACTTCTTGAGAGAATACATGTGCAGGATCCCTGGAACATAATCAGATTTGCAGTTGGAGAAACAACAGCACTTGGCAGCATTAAATGATTGTTCAAGGAGGTTCAGATTGTAGACAGGGAGACCGATGAAGAGATTGCTATAATTGTCCAAAAGAAAAATTATTAGAGAGGATGGATTTGAGAGATGTGAGAGATTTAAGGATGTACAAGATGGTCATAAAATCTGGAAACAGGCTACTGATTGATATATTTTATTACTTTCTGCAACCGATTAATGCTTCCACTTGACGGGCCAGGGGAAAGTCACCCCAGTTGGCTCCATGAGGAGCCATTACACTAGCGTGATGAGGGACGGATTGAATAATTCAGATAATTGAATTAGACAGTATGGCTGCACTCTGAACAGATCTGGACATCCCACCTCATGTTCTGTTACCTGTGGCATGTGTTTTAGACTCCAGTTTTTAAAATATGAATCAGGCATCACATGTTGAACTAGGCACTACTGACAAGGATCAAAACATAAAACTGAGTTTGGTTTCTGTTTCAAGATTTTGGGACCATCCTGTAGAATCAAGAGGGTTTCTTTGTTGAAGAGATGAGGAAAAGGGAAGAGTTGAGAATGACTAGTGTTTAAGTTGTTTCAACAGCATCCTCTATTTATTAGACTGTTCACCTGACTTTCCTAGTGACAGGATACTTTTTTTTTTTTTTTTTTAAGATTTATTTATTTATTCGCACAGAACTGGGGTACAGGCCAGAGATGCGGAGGGTGAGAGGATTCACCAGAGACAGAGCGGGAAGCAGAACAGTCAGATCCACGAAGTACACTGCTGAGGGGAGCAGTGGGCGGGTCAGGAGAGGTCTGCGGCGCCATGTGGTCACCTCCAGGGCAGGCGGGAATCGAACTCATGCAGAAGTGGCTTTAGCTTCTTAGTGCAGTGCTTTAACCCGCTGCGCCACCAGGGAGGGCCGACAGGATACTTTTTTAAAGATATTCCCATTTCAACTTCATAAAGTCTGTTTAGAGAAAGTATTCTAGAATACCTTATGTTTCTAAGTTATATCCTTGACAGGCATTTTAAGAAAAAACCTCATTTATCTGGCATGAGACAACTCTTGAGTTATTTGAATGTGGAAAATAAGTTCAATCCCATTAAAGAGAAAACTTAAATTGCAATCCAAGCTTTAGTAAACTTGACTTAATTGTTCTTTATATGACTTATGTGACTTTACCACCCCGTATTGAAACTTAATTAGGATGTCAATAAATCAAATGTAAAAAGAGGAAAGTATAGCCTTGAGGAGTCCGTGTAACTGATGACTTTTGGTAAATTCTGTGCATCAAACCAAAGGGGTTGATGGATTGCCACACATCATTTTAGGCTTAAGCTCTGTTGTTACATTCCCTAACAAGAAGTTCTGAATACAACCCAATACCTCACTTCCATAACAACTATTTTGTGGTGCTACTTTTGCTATCACAAAAACATACTTTCCTGTACAGAAATGAAACTTAAATACAACTCATCTATACAATTGAAAAAAGAATTCTGTAGAGTGCTCTATAGTAATATAATACAATAAAATGCATTTCAGTGTGATGATGCTCAAATATGACTCCTCCAACACTGAAGTGGTTAGATACTTCCTGCACCCATATGTTATAATCACTGTGAATGTATCAGTTACAAGAGTGGATTGATGCACAATCCACTCATGCCATCTAATTATTTTTTAATTGAAGTATGTTGCGTTATAAAATTGTGTAAGCTTCAGTTGTGCATTATTGAAAAACAACATATTTCTATATTAAATTGAGTCAACCACTAAAAGTCTAGTTCTGTCCTTCACCATACAATTGACCCAGCCCTCTTCCCTCCTGGTCACCACTAATTGGTCTTATAGTGTAACAGTTTATTTAGTTCACCCTTTTGTTTCTTTTCTCTATAATGATGCATATGAGTGAAGTCATGGTATTCGTCTTCACCTGACTTAATTTACTAAGCATGAAGAGTCACCTTAGTGCTTATACCTTATTGAACATTTTATTTGCAGGTACCTACATATCTTGAATAATCACTGGTAACTTAGCCCATTACATTTGAACTTCTTGGTGAAATGGTGCTACAGATTAGTTGTTACAGATTAGTCATAGGCTATTGTTTTTGGCATGGGTAGTTATATTTATAATATGTATACTTTTTGGATTCAGTATGACAGTGGCCTTTAAAAGAGGATGAAGTGTGACATTTCTTTTTTAACAGTCTTTTAGGTGTCCCCATTGCATATGATAACATCAAAGTAGTGGGTGAACTGGGAGATATTTATGATGATCAAGGACATATTCATCTTAACATTGAAGCCGATTTTGTTATTTTTTGCCCTGAACCAGGGCAAAAGCTTGTGGTATGTATAAATATATATATATATATATATATATTTTTTTTTTTCCTCTGTTTCCTTTGTGTCATGATGTAATTTCAAAAGTTTTAAGATACTTCACACCTTGGGACTGTCAATGGATTGCTGTTGTGACCCACTAGGAATTATTATAATAATTTTTTTTAAAGATTTATTTATTTGTGCATACAGAACTGGGGTACAGGCCAGATACTCAGGGTGGCGAAAGACTTCACCAGAGACAGCGGGGAGCAGAACAGGCAGATCAACGAAGTACACTGCTGAGGGGAGCAGAGGGTGGGTCAGGAGAGGTCTGCCACACCATGTGGTCACCTCCGGGGCAGGCGGGAATCGAACTCATGCAGAAGTGGTTTCAGCTTCTTAGTGCAGTGCTTTAACCCGCTGCGCCACCAGGGAGGGCCTAGGAATTATTTTTAAAGAATCAAATTACTTTCCATCAGTTCAGCATGGTCATATATTAAACTCCATTCTGTTAGAGTTTACCTGCATGCACAGAATATTTATCCTATCCAGTTTATTCTTTTTTCTTTGCATAGCAGCAGCATGATCTGAAGTTAAAAAAGCCTCAGTTTTTATTATTTTTAAATTTCTCAAATATAAAGTTTCTTTATAAAGGGCACAGAAATATAGCAGTATGTAAAACAGGAGTTGCAAATTTAAGTGGTTAGAGGATTAGGCAGACATGAAATGAATAAAGGATAGGGGTCAGGACAGGTACACTGTACCATGGGAATGAAGGTTCAGTGTTGAAAATCTCCATTTTCAGGAGAATCTAGAAAGGTAGAAATTGATATGAAATACACTGAAATATATCCCTTTTGCATTTTGATTTGTCTATCCTGCCCGTCAGCTGGTATTTACATGCATGTGTTCATATGTGTGTGCTTATTCTTTAACTAAAATAAATATAGGAATTATTTAATCTAGTAGGTAAGAACTGTTATTTAACTCTTGATACTGTTAATAAAACTTTGACAGATTTTACCGTGAAAAAAACTACAAAACGTTTCTAACTGTTTTTTGATATCAATTAGTTTGGTAGAGTTTTACTATGAAAAAATTATTTAAGATTTTTAATATCAGCTAGTCTGTTAGAAGTAGTGTAAAATGTAAACTAATATTTACATGCAATGAAATGCAGTTAGTGAAGTTTGACAAGTTCATCTACTGTTCTCTCTGCTTAAGAAATGACCTTCATGTCCTTTCCCTCTGTTTCACTGACAAAACCACTGTTATGATTTCTTTTATTATAAATTAGTTTTGCTTGTTCTAGCTATAATTCTGTATTAATGAAAATTTTAATTTTATACTCTGAGGAATTTTTGGTTTTGTTCAGCTTGTTTTTAATTTCATTTATGCTATTGTGTGTACTGGTAGTTTGTTCCCTTTTATTACTCATGAAGTTCAATTATGAGTATCTCACAATCCTATTGTCCATCTTCGCTGATAAATACATGGGTTTTTTTTAGTTTGGAGCTATTATGAATAAAACTAATGTGAACATACATTTCATTTCCCCTAGGTAAATAGAAGCAGAATTGCTTGATCAGAGGATATATGAATGCTTAACTTAATGAGAAACTATTTCCCATTCACACACCCATTTGCTCTGCATCCTTTCCAGTACTTGCAGTTGTCAGTCTTCCTTTTCTGGTGGGCATAGAGTGTGTTTCATTAAGGTTTTGATATGCATTTCCTTAACAAACTCTTTTTCACATGTTTACATAGGGAAAACCTATTCAAATACTTTGCTCATTGACATTTTTTAAAAATATTTTTGTTATCGGGGTTTACTAGTTCTCCTTAAAGTGTTAGTGCAAATGTGTCCTTTTCAGATCTAGTAAGAACTCTTTCTCTCAGGTTGACTTTCCTGTTAATTTTATTTTATTTTATTTTTTTAAAGATTTATTTTTATTTGTGCATACAGAACTGGGGTACAGGCCAGAGGCTCAGGGGTGGTGAGAGGCTTCACCAGAGACAGAGCAGGGAACAGAACAGGCAGATCGACGAAGTACACTGCTGAGGGGAGCAGCGGGTGGGTCAGGAGAGGTCTGCCACACCATGTGGTCACCTCCTACATGCCGGCGGGAATCGAACTCATGTGGAAGCGGCCTTAGATTCTCAATACAGGGCTTTAACCCGCTGCGCCACCAGGGAGGGCCTTTCCTGTTAATTTTAATGGTATCATTTGAAAAACAGAAGCGAACAGAAAATTTGATGAGGTTCGATTTATCAATTTTCTACTTGTATGCCTGTATCTTTATATCTGGATCCTATTTACAAACTTGCCTATCACTCCTATCACTATGTTGACCAGATATTTAGCTAGAAGTTTTATAGTTTTAGTTTTTCCACTTAGGCTTGTTATCAGCTTTAAAAGTTTTTTTTTTTTTTCATATAGTGTGATGGAGGGTTTGAGATCCATTTTCTTTTTCCTATTCAGTTATTTCATATCTGTGGAATATTTTTTTAATTGATGGGTATAGTTTCTCTTATGGTTGATATCGCTTGTATTAGTGTGGTATGTTTTTTGTAATTATAGAGGAAATACTATTGACGGATTAGCCGCTGAATTAATGTATTGAGCCAATGCATTATAATTAAAGTCTAGATTAGAGTTCACTTTCTATGATGTACATTCTGAGGCTATTGACAAATGTATAATGATATTTATAGTCCCTTAGAATAATTGAGACACTGACTTAAACGTCCCATTCTTCCCTTCCTTATCCCTGAAACCACAGCAATGGCTGATCTTTTTACTCTTTGCATAGCTTTGCCTTTTCTAGAAAGACAGTAGTTGAAATTATAGAGAATGTAGCCTTTTCATTTTAGTTATTTCTTGGAGCAATAGCATTAAAGCTTGGTTCATTTATTTTGTGGTTAAATAGCTGATTTCTTTTTCTTATTGAATAATAATTTGTTGTATAGATACACCACAATTTATCCAGACCTTCTAGAAGCTACCATTGGAGATACTAGCCTTCTGAGAATAACAGATAAAAGTTTTACCCTATCACATGTTGAAGAGGTTTCTGTCATTAAATAACACTGAATCCATGTGAATAATAATTATGGGCATATAACTCAAAATAACTACTTTTTGATAAATTTCAGGTTTTCTTTCATGTACCTTACATGTTGGTTCCTAGGGGAAGAAAGAAAAGCTAAGTTTTTTGAAAATTTTTATTTTAAGTATAATTATGTGACATATAATTTCAATTGAGTTTTAAAGCTTTTAGTAATGTTTTTGTGATTTAGTCAAAATAGCTATGTTCAAGATTCGTATCTAAAGTATAAGTTGACTTCTAATAGGACTGCTTACATCTTGTTAAATTGAATCATTAAAGAATGTTCTTTAAACTTTGAAATTCAGACTGTTTATAGAAATATAATGGGAATCATAGTTATAAAAAGCATATGCTTCCTTTCTTGAGGTCTTTTCAAATGTAGGTCATATCAAAGAGTATTTTCTACTTGGTTTCAGTTTGGTTATAATTACTCTCCAGGGAATCCTACAGTGAGGTGTATGTTGGGTCGTTAGGGGGAGGGTAGGTAGTTGTTTATTCATTTGGGCAGTTGATATGCAGTTACTTTATTAAAGTTTGAGCTTTATAAATGTTCCATAGTTTTAGGATAGCACATGGTAAGCTATAATTGAGATAAACACTTCTATATTAAATGATGCCATTAACTTGATGTTTCTTTTTGAAGTTTGCAGCTTGTAAAGTTTGATTTAACTTGTAATTCTGTAGATTGCGTGTACATGTTTTTATATATATATACATATATATATATATATTGTTTTTTCCTCTTCCCAGGGTACAGTTAATAAAGTATCTTCCAGCCACATTGGCTGTTTAGTACATGGGTGTTTCAATGCCTCCATTCCTAAACCTGAGCAGATGTCTGATGAACATTGGCAAACCCTGGAGATAAATGTAGGTGATCAATTAGAATTTGAAGTATTTCGTTTGGATTCAGATGCTGCTGGAGTATTCTGCATTCGGGGAAAACTGAATATCACTAGGTCAGTCCCTAATCACCTTATTATCATGTTGATGCTTAATTGTTTCTATTAATTCTTAACTTAGGAAGGTAAACCCCTCTTTAAAAATTTAATTCTCTTTATTGGAATACTTGTGCTTTCAAATCATAGTTTCAATGCTATGACAAGTATATCAATAACTATGCTAAAGAGCTATGTCCAGCTAACTACTTTTTTTTTTTTAAGATTTATTTATTTATTTGTGCATACAGAACTGGGGTACAGGCCAGAGGCTCAGGGGCGGTGAGAGGCTTCACCAGAGACAGAGTGGGGAGCAGAACAAGCAGATGTTTGAAGCACACTGCTGAGGGGAGCAGCGGGCGGGTCAGAAGAGGTCTGCCACACCATGTGGTCACCTCCTCCGGGGCAGGCAGGAATTGAACTCATGAGGAAGTGGCTTTAGCTTCTTAGTGCTGTGCTTTAGCTGCGCCACCAGGGAGGGCCCAGCTAACTACTTTTAATAACTAAATTTTTGCTAAATATTTTCTAATTGGTGGTTAATACTTTTGGACGTTGACCTCTGGGCTTGAAACTATTGAAAGCATAATTTTATTGCATAAATAAAAAATTTTTACATAGTGGAAGCAAAAATAATTTGATTATTGCCTTCTGTTTGTAGGTATGTTATTTTTTTTCTGTATTGAAATTCTTATAAGAATTAACACTGATCTTGAATTACCATTGGAACCATGTTGATTAATGTGATGCAAGGGAAAAATCTCTTGTATTCTGTTGTTGTTATCATTGTTTTAGAATCTGCCTTTATACGTAGCAAGAGTATATGGTAAAGTTTAGAATAGCTGTCTCATTGCCCTTTGTGTAGTTGTGGGATAGAGATGTGCTGTATTTGTGAATATATTAACCTTAGTATGAGCACTTGAAATGTGACTAGTGCAACTCAGGTACTAAATGTTTAAGTATTATCTCATTGAAATTATACTGCTACTCTGAATGTTGTAGTTTACTTCAGTGACCCTTGTTTTTATTAGCAATATTTTCTATCACTGCTAGTACTTTGACTAGTAAGCCTGGGTCTTATGATGTTTAATGTTCTGTGACCAAATTTCTTTGAGCCAAAATTCAGCAGCCATGTTTTGGCAATTTTTTAACGTCATTTTCACATGTGAAAACATAGTCTGGGGAAGGTACTTTGGAAACAAAAAAAATTTACCACTTCCTACACCATTTAGTAGGCTGAAGATTAACAGGATAGAATATTTGAATTTTATGTTTTTATGTCTTGGTTATATATCTGGTAATGCTGTCATGATTTCTAAAAAAATCATGTTGAGATCGTCTTGATTTCATTTTGTTCTAACACCTTTGCTTTCTACTCTAATTTTTTTAAACTGTTAATTTATAGTTTACAATCCAAGTGCTCTGCAGTTTCTGAAGAAGTAACGGAAAATAGAACTGAAGAAGCCGTTGAAAAACCTCTGAAGAAGAAAAAGAAGAAGAAAAAGAAAGACTCAGAACAGTGGGAAGTAGAAGGTGGTGGCACAGAGCTGGCAGATTTGGCAGATGACACCATGAGAGAAGAGACAGACCTGCAAGTTAATAATAATGTGAATGACCTCAGGGAGGAGAACCCAAAGAAGAAGAAAAAGAAGAAAAGGCACCAGGAAGAACAGGATCCGGATCCTGTTTTCCAAGGCAGTGACTCTAGTGGTTATCAAAGTGACCATAAAAAGAAAAAAAAGAAAAGGAAACACAGTGAGGAGGCTGAGTTTACACTTTTGCAACATTCATCTAAAAAGAAAAGGGAAAAGTAATTTTCTTCTGTGCTTTTTAAATGATTCAGTTTTTTAAAAAATCACAAACTGAAGACAGATGAATAAATATTTTCAAAGATATGAAATGTTTGTGTATCTAGTAATTTGCAAAAAGAACTAACATGCAGTTCAGAGTGGAGGTTTTTGTATGTTAAAATTATTAAAGTGATAATTGGTAATACTAGTATCATTAAAGGGCCATTTTGTTATATACAGTATAAAAAGCTAAGCATTCTCTGCTCTTGTGTTCTCCCAGTTTTTTGCATTCTAAATCAGACTATTTCTACAACCTCAAGACTAGCAAAAGAACTTTGTTATTCATATTAATGAATGAGATTGAATTTGGGTTTTTGTCTTTTTTTTTTTTTTTTTTTAAATATTGTCCCTCTCCCTACCATTAGTCATGATATTACATGACATTTTATTGTGGTATATTTTTTAATCAAGACATTTACCGGCTTTTCTTTATCATTTCTTCTACTGTAGTACTCTTCTGAAGTCTCCAGATCTCTTAAGAATCATGCCACTACTGACTATACTTAGGGAACAGTATTCACTTTCCCGCCTTCCGGTGCATGTGTATTGTTTTTTTCCTTTAAATCTAAAGAAATTGCTAGGTCTTTTTCTTTTATACTGTTCAGTTGTGTCTCAGTTATTCTGCCTTTATTGTATGTTTGAGGAGGAGACTGATGAAGATAGTGTAAATGTGATTGTGAATGGTGAGAAATTTCAACAGTTTTTAATAATTGGCCTTAGGCTACCAGAAATTGTTCTTAAGGAAGAAAATAACTTTCACTGCTTTCATTGAGGAAATAAGAAGTATATGTTATCTAACTGGAAAAGAATGAAATGACAAGTTGGTTCATGGCTATATGTACTTATTTACCATGTAATGTGATGACCTGCCAAACTATCAGATTCAGTAAGGTCCAGTGACAGAATGGCAAGCAAGGGACACGTAGTTCCTTCCTTCAGGGAATGTCATAAGAGAACCAGGTTGACTCACACACAATATAGGCAAAAAAATAGAAAATTTGTGATGCTATAAATCAAAAGAAATTGTTTACTCAGTGTTAGTTGTATCCATATCTAAATGACTGAATGGCTGAATTGAGCCCTCATGCCACCCATTTTTCTTGCTCATTTATCTAGTATCAGACACAGTACAGTTTCACATTGCAATGATAAAATGTAGTTTGGAACATTGTAGGCTGATTTTTTTACTTTTGTCATGTGAATTAATACACAAATTAATTTTTAGTGAAACTATTCTAAATCTCCCTTTCATAAATAACAAGAACAGTATGTTTATGCCACTAATGGAAAGATACATATAGTTTAGTAAAATAACTATCCCCACATTATTTGTATTTTGCTTCAATTTGTGCTCTGTCAGTCATACTGCATTTTAAAATGCTTGTACTATTGAAGAAAAAAACATAGATTTGGCCATGCTTCTTTATAATTTGAGTAGCTCTGAAAAGGTCATTTGCCATGCTCTATTTGCCTTGCTCAGGATATAGTAACTTTTTATCTGGGAGAAAAGCCTCTTATGTTGGTATCATACCTCCATATGTTCTTCCATACATTTGCTGGATGCACACCTTGTGACCAAGGAGAAGGGAAGGAAGTGTTAGGTTGTAGGTGAAGAGGTTATCAGAGACCTCAGAAATTTCTAATACAGAAATTCTCAGATACTGCCTTCTATAGAAAATTTTTCTAGACTAAAGTGAGCTAAAATTGCATATATTGCATTCATAATCATTGTGTGTGTGTTTTTTTTTACATATAGCATACTATATTATGGTTCAAATAGTTAAATAGTTCCATCTGTTTATAAAACTTGTCTCTTGATAAATTTGTCTTTACCAAATGTTTCCCGAGGGCCAGGGTGATGTCCTAACTGTATCTACAATGTTTAGCAGTGAAAATATCAACAGGTTATTTTTTTTATTATTATTAAGATTTGTTTATGCATACAGAACTGGGGTACAGGCTAGAGGTACAGGGGCTGTGAGAAGATTCACCAGAAACAGCAGGAGCAGATTGATGAAGGATACTGCTGAGGGAAGCAGCCAGGGAGAGATCTGTTGCGCCATATGGATCACCTTCCTGCAGGGGATTGAATTCCCACTGATGCATGCAACCGCAGCTAGCTTGCAGTGCTGAGCTTTAACCTCCGTGCCACCAGTGAGGGCCTCAAACAGTTATTTTTTTAACTGATAATGAAATGAAAAGCATAGTTTTAAATGGTATCACTTTGCTTCTGATCCCATAGTCTTAATCTTTTTACGTACCATTTCAGTAAATGCACTAAGTGCTTTCCCTGTACATGATGTGGGTTTCAAGTATTTTTGTTCCAAAGTTATGTTAGTGATAATTGAAATGGAAAACTTCAAATGGTTGAATTGAGCCTCTTAACATGCTTCATACATTCACAACATGAACAAAAATTAGTAAAGCAAAAATCTAGTAAGCTACATTGGACATTTTTCCTCCAAAAATAACACATGGTACAAATCATAATTTATTTTTAAAAGGTCAAATAATAAAATCCCTATCCTCATGGTCACTTATATAACTCCATTCCTCTAGTCAACACATACCCCTCTACATGACAGTGGTACTCTCCAGAAATAGTTACTATTGTCAAGTCTGTGTAAAGTTTAAGACTTGTTTTTTAAATATAAGTAAGTAATAGGAAATTATTCATACTCTTTGGACCTACTTTCATTTGACATAGATTATATCCCAGATGAATATTTGAGGTAATGATGAATATTCAGGTTGTTTATAATTCTCCCTTTCAGTAAATACATGAGTATAAGGCTATATACATCCTTATTTGGTATATAATATAGTGCTAGAAATGAAGTATGAAAGGACTTTTTGACATATGGACAGCTGTTACAAATGTTTAGTTTTATGTTATCAATGATCTTGAGCATCTCAGTGCTTTTGTAGAGGCACTTCCCACCCCAAGGTTAGAATTTACTGTGCTTTCTTCCAGTCCTTTCATCATTTTACATTTAAAATTTTAGCCCCTCTGGAATTGGTATATAATTTGATGTTGATATATCCCCAAACTACTCATATGCTCTCTAGATTTGAGGAACTGTTTTCTATATCCTCTAGATGACACTGTTTCTCGTCTGATTACTATGCTACATTGGTAATTACCCTAGTGTAGGCAGAATTCTGAGAGGGCTGGATTTCCCAATCTAATTCTCATAAGTGAAGATGATAAATTTTACTTCCAGAATCTATTATATACTGTATATTGTACTTTGTTTTATATATTATATGGCACAATTGACTTACGAGATGATCTGGGCAGTCCTAACCTTATGACATATCCCTTTAAATGAGTTTTATCCAGATTATGGCAGTAAAAGATATATGAACTGTGAGGTTTTGATATATCCCTTACTGAAGACAGCAGGGCGAGGGAGGTGGCAAGGATCTGAGCAGCCTAGAACAACTGGCCAAGAGCCCACAGGAAAGTGGACCGCAACCCTATTATCTACAAGCAACTAAATTTTCCCAGTGATCTTAGAAGCAGATTCACCCCCAGATCTTCCAGATGAGAATTCAGTCAGCTAACACCTTAGTTTCAGTTTTGTAAAATCTTGAACACAGAACCCACTCATACCTTCCCAGCCTGATGACCAATAGAATTGTAAACTACTGAGTAGATGTTTGAAGGTTGTGATATTTGTTAAATTGCCATAGAAAGCTAATATATAAGGTTTTTATGGTACATTTTTATGTCTGGTCAAAATAACCTTTATTGTGCAGTTTAAAAATTATATTAGTTCATGTTTTGTTAAAACTTTTTGGGATTATGTCGAAATTTGTAATAAATTGAGAAATTGAGATGACTGACTTCTGTAAATACTTGGATTTCCTAGTCAATAAACATAAACTCTTATTCAAGTTACTCATTATTTCAGTAGCACTAGGCCTTTTATATAAAGTTTATTTCCAGAAATTTTAGCACTTTTTGCTTTTGTTAGATTTTTTTTAATATTACATTTCATAACTAGTAATTACTGACATATAAGAAAATAATTGAACTCCTATATTAACTTATATGTGTCCATAAATGTCAAAGTTTTGTTTATTCTATTAGCCTCGTGTCATCCATCACTGATTTTGTTAACCAGGTATATGAACTTTTGTTTATCAATTCCTACTCTGCCCTTTACTAAAGGTTTTACTTTGGTCAACTCTTCCCCTTTTGGCTTTTCAGTTAAATTATTAGTTACCCTTTTATTTTAAATCTCATTTAGTAATGAAAGTGTTTGACCCTAAAATGTTACTATTTCAGTCTTGTGTGGATCCTGTCAGCTTTTGTATGTAATACCCTCATTGTATCTCATTTAGAGACCTCTGAATTATTCTTTGATCCAAAATTTATTTAGGCGATATCGTTAAAACTTTTGAAAGGTTGTTATAGGTGATGTCTGTTGCTATATTTTGTTAGTTTCAAGCTGTTTTGTGCATTGTCCTATCAACGATAATCTCTGATTTCTTCTTTTGGAAATTGAGATTTTATTTTGTGGCCCACTACATGGTTAGCTTTTAAAAATATTTGTTAAGTATTTGAAAGTAATATCTTTTTCGAAATATCCAAATAACTTTAAAAAATAGTTTTAATATACAGTGAGAACAAAATTGAAAAATAAGGGCTAAATGTGCACATGATAATGACTGAGTATTTCTTCTGGTAATTCATGGAAAGTTCACTAGATGTTCAAATAGTAAATACTGTTCTCATTACTAAAAGTAAAGGTTTGGTTGCAAACCTTTTTCTCTCAAACCTCTGCCTTTGTCTTTTATCTCTTTCAAGTAAATACTTAGTATACTGGATCATCTTAGAGCCCTGGTGCCTTTTCTTAGGCATTAGACATTGATAAACCTGTTCATAATTACATTAATTTGATAATTTGTACTAAATTTATTTGAAAGTTTTTAGTAAGGCAAAAATTTAGTGAGTTATAATATTGGATTTAGAAGAAAGGAATGAGCAAATAGAAGTCTGTAGCCAGCATTTCAATAGCAAATAAGCTGCAGTCTAAAAAGTTGTAGGTAATTAGTTCCACATTCATTGGGCATAATTAGAAAATGCTCTGGTATGTACTATATTGCATTGCATTATTATTGAGTCAAGGAAAAATCAGGACAAATATTTTGACAATTCTTGTTTTAGTAACAGAAATACAAGGTAATTGATGCATTAAAGAAAACCATAATTTCAAATTAGAATGTATTAGTACATAAAATGAGGTAGAAATTTATGAGATTATGAGCAAGAAAGAAAGGAATCTATCTAAGTAGTGTGTTTTAATACATGAAAGAAATTCTTATTCTGCATTCCACCACATTTTGTCACAGTCTGATGTTTTTCAGATTTGGTTGTCTTTATACCAGATCACCATTTAAAGAGGATTCCTTACAGGCATCTAACAAATCCCACATACTTTATATTCATACATATGTGCAAGGAAACCTAAAATACTGATTTCCCCAAAAGAATGATACATAAATAGATAGATGTCTACTGTTCTAAGGTATTCATACCCAATGTTCTCTTCGCCTGTTAACCTTCACATGTTAAATGACAGTGGTTTAACTCAATGGGGTTAGAGCAAAGCAAAGTTGACAGTGGAACTTTCTGATTCTTATCAGTATGTTACCTTGACAAATTTTACCTTCTGTTCCTTTGCCTGTAAAATGAGAATACTGAATTGGGAGCTAGATGACCTAATGGTTTGTGTAAGTTATAAAGTCCATAGTGCCTTTACTACTGTTGACTATTATAAATAGCATATTGTATACTTGACTCTCACTTACTTGCATCTAATAAGAACTGTGAAGTCAAATTTTAATTTGCTAGCCACGGCTTCATGCTGTTTACATCAGACAGGTGACACCTAGGGTCCAAGACACATGACTTATTACTCATGTTGTAACAAGTAGCATAAGATTCTTGCTTGCAACAGTCCCTCTTGCTTTGTAAGACAATACTGAAGACCCCAAAAAGCTGCTAATCGTGAAGTGAGCATGTGTCATGGCTGAGAAACCCTATCTATGCTAATGATGGACAGTGGACTACAGGTAAACCCGCCTAACCTCTGTTCCAGAGGGAATCACAACAGTAAACAAACCTGGCCTGTATAGAGGAAGACTTTTTTTGTTTTCAAAGACTTCAGCTAGCCTAAGGAAATTTGTAAGTCTGAAGCAAAGCTGTGAGTACCTTTTAGTCACAAGATGTATAACAATGAAAGAATTGTAAAAAAATTATCTCCTGAAAACTCATCCCCAAAGATAAACTGACATTCTCCAAATAATATACTACTACATTTACAATATTACCACTATAGATAATTTATGCAAATTTATAATACAAAGTTACAAATTTCATATTTAAACTTTAATATCAAGCTGTTCACTAATGCTCCTTATTGATTTATCTTTAGAAACCATCTTCTGATTGCTTGTTATGTAGTTTTTCAATTCATGCTCAAGCTATTAACATCTTGGTGCATTAAATAAACACACACATACATTTACACCCATATACACTCACACATATCAGTGGTATCTGCTAATTCTGTCAAACATTCTCTCCTCCAAACCATGTGTTCACACAGGACTGTGAACTCATGGAACCTAGTATTGGTGTCCTGTATTCACAGCCCATGAATCATGGGTCCTGAAATACCCAAGTTATTAAACTACTAACAGAAGCAGCTTTGGGAAAACTGATTTTTCATACCATAGGAGAAAAAGTGGTATTTTTATCTTTGGCATTATCCATCCTCCATGGGTATAGGGAAGTATGTACTCCATATAAACTCAAAAAGAAGGAGTTTAATTAAATGAATGCCCTGTCTGCCACACCCAGAGCCTTTTCCAGGAACTTAAATAACTATGGGCCCTAGTTACTGCAGGCTGAAGTCCAGGATGGACTTGCAATAGTGATACAAAAATTCCCCCATCT